TATATATTAACTCAAAAAATTGAAACTTTAAATGTTTATATATAATAAACGAATAAAGTTATATTAAAAATTCAAATGACATTTGTTATTAAATTATAAACTCAAACATTTTATTAAATTCAAAATATGTGTTACCATTTAAAAAAACAAAGTTGACACCCTTACCAGGCATAAGGGATGAACTTAAAAAGTATTACATAGTTAAAAATTCAAGAATAATGTGTAACTAAAGATAGTAATAAAAAAAATGTTTTAAATTATTATTATTCTGTAAGTAATTGAGTGGGTTATGATAAAAAAATCACCCTGTATATAAAACATTTTATCAGCCTGAAGCACAGCTTAAATTAACTCTAAAAAGAATATCTTGTTTCATTATTAAGTTTTACTCTCAAATCTGGTTTACCATATAAATAATATAAATATAAATAATGAAAATGAAAGATGAATATTTGGGTTTAGTGAGAACCTGATGTTGTGGTTCGAGGGTTTAGAACAATAAAGACAAGTAGATATGAAGAAATAAATGTATGTCCCTTTTATTGAGGAATATGAGCTAATAAGTTTGTAAACACCTTTAATAGGTTTAACAACTCAAACGGCAGCACGGGGCCGTGATCAAAATGTAGGAGCAAGAGTAGTTCGTAGGAACGAACTAGCTTACTGGAGCTGTGGCTCTCTGGCCTTAGCCGTAGCCGTGGCTCTCTCTCTTTTCAATGGATATCAGTGCTTTTTATAGTACTGAAGAGGTACCCCCATATCCAGGGATATTGCCGTTTGTGTTATTCATGATTATATTTTATTGTTTTAAAGTATGCATTACAGGATAATTATATTGATAGCATAGTTAACAATAGATGAGTTGACATGTATGTAAATAATAAGAAATTGTGTTGAACATTGTATTTGTTATGACAGATAAATTATTTGTTTGTTTACAAGTTATTTAAATTACAGATTATACTTTTTTTATTGATAATTGTGAGATGCGTAATGCAAAGTATTAAGCATATCACGACAGTACCAAAACAATTTTTACTACAGTTAAAAATGAAAGAATTTATACTTTTTTAGAAATTCATTAGCTATTATATGTGATAACTAATATTTATTTTTTGGAATTCGTACAAAATTATCGGAGGAAGCACCTCAATTATAACTGAAGAAAATTGAGTAAACAGTTTTAATCTATCATATTTAGGTTATTAGTGTTATTAAAACAGCAAAAGTATACATATTATAATATTATATATAACCAATATTTCAGAAAATTTTTGTAAAAACTTTTTTCGAAGAAAATATTAAAATCTATGTTCTAAAAATTGTTATACTAAGTATGTTACTTTTAGAAAAGAATGATCAAAATCTGAAAAACTACCCTTTTGAGCGAATTTGTAATAAATAGATTCATAGTCTATCTAAGCCAGTATTTTAGTTCTGTAAATGGTGATTAAATTATACTTTTTATGGTTCCTATATATACTGTGCTAATGTTATTCAGATTGTAAATTATTATTTTGTCTGTTCATAGAAGGGTGCAAAAGCTCTTAAATTCTTTATTGGTCAAAAATAAAAGATGCTATAATATATATATTGTCTGTTATCATTTTTTCTCAGTTCTCACTAAAGTTGATGTCCGATAATTTTAAATATGATTATTTAAACATTTTTTTTTTGTAAAATATTCTTAAATATGTTATAATTTACAAAAATATACTCCGGCTAAATATTGATATTTAGAATAAATTAACATCCTCTATAATTCTTGAGTATTGAAGATTAAATAATTGTATGATTTAGGTGTATGAATATTGTTTTGAGTTTAGATAAGGATTTAAAAAAATATTTACAGGGCTTTTAGAGATGTATTCTGTCCAAGTATGCAAATTAAGTATTTAATAACTTTTTATAATTTTTCCATAAAAATTACACTTTTAAATTAATTAATAATAATTTCATATTAGATTTATTTGGTACAACAAGTATTTATTTATTTATTCCTTTATTAAATTTATAAATCATAAAAAATGTAATCAGAGCAAACAATAGAATAGAAATTTAATTTCTTTTGGATAAACTTCTTTGTAAATTAGCTGAAAAGTTTTCGTTTTGTGTCATCATTATGAAAAACTCTGAAAAATATAAAGAAAATTCGTAAAATATATTATTTAATAATAAATAAATATTTATGATAATTCATCACGATAAAAAATATTTGAAGATCATTAATTTTATACGAAATTGCTTTTATATTTGAAACACTTTAAATGTCATAGACAAATTACATTTATATAAAAATATATGTAGATAAACGATCAAAGTGAATATGATTATTTATTTTTGATAATACTAAATATAAATAGTTAGAATAAAAATTTTGCAAAACACTAAGAATAATGAAATTAGTTATATTTTTGAGTTAAATAAGACGATATCTTTAAGATCGGTTCTGTCGATATAAACAAAATAATACCATTTTCAAAATAAAAATTAATTAATTAATCACAAGTGATGTTCATTGAACAGATGAGGAGTTTTCTCATAATTTGCCAAATTTTATATTTATACAATTAAAAATTATGTTTTTATGTATAGACTCTGTTAACATTTAAAATCTTTAAAAATTAATACTATTCTGCATTTTATGAGAAAATGATTTCTTTTAAAATTCATTAAATCATTATTTTAAATTTAAACTATATAAAAAATATTTAACTCAAAAATTCACAAAAAATAAATAAAAGGTACGTAATTTGGAAACAACGTTACCATTATTAATGCTCAACACATACTGACACCCCACCGGAAAAAAACACCTTCATAAATCCCTAGTGAAATTATCACCTAATGACGTTATCACTAAATAGTATCATCACAAAGGGGAAATTGGGTATTTGTAAAATATAATGTGAAAGTTTAAATTAAATCTACGTAAGACAAACAAAAAAAAATTTAGGAGTTGGGTTTAAAGACACTTAAGAAACATTAAAAATCAAAAAGTTGATATATCTCCAGCGGCTGAACATTTATTGACATATAATCACATAAAACCATAAAATTAATTAAAAATATAAATTATTACAAAGAATATATTATATGGGAAGCAATAGAAATGTTTACAAATAAGAAAACTTTAATTAATTGGGATTGTGGCCCTCTGAAAAATTCATTACTTTCGTAAACCGGTAAAATGTGATAATGTTACTTATTGATAACATTACTAAAGGTATATGATGGTGTTTTTTCCGGTCGGGGTGTCAGTATGTGTTAACATTGTTCCCAAAGTACGTATCTGAGATCTTTTAGTAATTGTTGTGGATTTTTGAGTTAATTTTTTTCAATATTTTTAGTTTAAAATTAATTTTTAAATTATATTAATTTTTTTTATTATTTGAAATAATATTAGCCACATACGATCAATTTTTATTATATCATTAAGTAATTTAGTGTGAGGAGGTTTAATAAAAAATTTAAATATACTAGACCTAAATTAAATGTCGGTTACACGTTTAGAATCATAAAGATACAATTTTACTAAATCGATAGCACAATTCATTAACATAAAAAATATAGTTTAAAAAAACTAAAAACACGCTTTTAAAGCACATCGAACTAAAAAGTTAAAAATAATTTTTAAAATTAACTTAAAACAATAATGAACGAAAAATACTAGTATTATTGTAAAAAAAGCGTCGGGCGCTCAATATACAAAAAATATGGCACAAAGCACCCACGCTTTTTTTCACAATAATACTAGTATTTTTCGTTCCTTATTGTTCTAAGCTTATTTTTAAAATTATTTTTAACTTTTTAGTTCGATTTACTTTAAGAGCGTGTGTTTCAGTTTTTTTAAACTATATTTATTTTTCACTTTTTAGTTTCATGTTATGATAGTAGTTAATATCACTGTCATGATTGTAACGGGTAACGGGAAATAAGAGTTCGATTCCGGAGAGGGAGTCTAAGAAACGGCTACCACATCCAAGAAAAGCAGCAGGCGCGTAACGTGGAGGTAGTGACGAAAAATAACGATACGAGAATCATCCTCCGTAATCGGAATGAATACACTACATATCTCTTAATGAGAATAAAGTGTATTAATATATAAGTTTTAATAGTAATTAGAATATATATATATTTAAAGGGACTTAAGTACGTAAACGTATCATGCATGAGGTATAGCCGTGTTTATGTGGGCGGGCATGGCGGAGGGAACATTATACACGAGGCATATACGGCGGCAGAGGCGTCGGCTGTAGGAATATATAAATGAATATTAACATATACGTATATATATATAAATATTAATATTAGCGGTGGCGGTAGGAATATATAATCTTCGCATAATATCGCGGCACTTTTGCTGGCGTCGAAGACGCGATGTCCGGCGTGATCCTCGGGCGTCAATAGGTTAGCAGCGTAGATGACGACGGTGCGCGAGTGCGGATCAGTTTGTTGACGATGTTATTTTAACAATGGGAAGAAGACTACGATATAGCGGCGGGACGTCGTCGGCCGTGCGGCACTTGCTGGACTTACAATAAAAATTTGTTATATATAATTGATGATAAGCGCGCGTCTACGGGTTGGAAAATATTGTTCTCTACTAGGGGTGAGCGGGGTGGGGCGAATGCGTTACAACAGTATAGTCTCAAGGTCATACACGACGGGATACGCGACATAATAACACGTGCCGCGTGGAGTTACAAACTTACAAACAACAAACGACAAACATACATGTGAAACTAATATAAGCGTGTTAATATATAATCATCAGGCGATTTATAAACCACAATTTTATCACACTATACATAAATATAATGACCGCCGATCGTCAACTAAAATACATCAATAGGCAATTTATATTTTACTATTTAAATTTTTACGATACCATTCTGATTCATCAGCGTTGAGCCACTAGAGCTATAATGTCGAATAGCATTTTCTAGAACACCCTTCTTCAATTCCCAGTTCAAAAGTTTGAAAAGTCTGCCTAAATCGTTTGCAGAAATTAAACCGTCTTTATCGTTATCAATAATTTGAAATGCATCTGTCACTGATTCTTCAATTTTATCAGATGGGATCTGGTAGATATTATTTACGCTACAAGATCCGTTTCCTTAAATAAAAATAAACACTAATAAATCTTTCATAATTTACTCTCTACTTTTTTTAAATGAACGTTAACGAAAGGCTAACTTACTAGATAAATATTTTCTATGCATTCAAAACAAAAGTTTTTGTAGAGACAAAAATTATTTGATTCAAAATCTCTATAATATAATGTAGTCACATAATTGTTTTTTTTTTTACATCACTTCAGAGATAAAAAAAAAATTAACTTTTTTTTTATCAGTGGGAACATTTGCTTTTTTGACTTGATAAAATGATAAAGAAAAAATTAATATTTTTTTTAACCGATCAATCCAACCGCTTATTTGTTACTTTAAGTTTAGTGTTTTAGGATCAAATTGCTAATGATATGTTTTATTGTTAAGAATAACAGAAATCTTAATCTTTCTATTGTGTCATATAAACTAACTTTTATCGACTTATCCAGCATTGGATATCTTATCTTTAAAAAATCATGTTTAGTAATATAGTTCAAAAGTAACTCCGGCATTGCTCCACGTTGCTTATCATCACCCACCCCCTATTTGGTTTGCTTACATTACTCCGATTAGTTGTGTCCGGTACACTTCGTATTTCGTGTACGTTGTGTATGTCATATCCTTTGGTCAGCTGACTTATTGATGGCTACTTGATGTCTATGTTTTAGCTAAAGTATTAATATATTATAATATAATAAAATCCTGTATGTAATCAATGTTTAGTGGTTATCTTATTGTTATACACCTTTTGAGTGTAGGGGAAAAACATTCGACCCATCTTTTATATTTAATTAGGTTAGCGTTTAGAAAGGTTACAGAAGGTAACTCTGGGAACTGGAAATTAAGTCATTACTTTTTATAAATGACACTCTTACATTAAACGCAAATAATACATTGTTGGCCCTCGGTGTGAAATATATTTATTGGTAACCATTATAAAAAATAATTTGAAAATATTAAAACAGATTTTTACTGCTTCCGGTATTAAACCAAATTAATGGTGATTTCTATTTTAAATCCAGATTTTCAGATAATATTAAATGGAAAATGGTCGATCGAATAAAAAAAATTATAAGAAAAAAAATGTTTTTTCTCTATCATATTATCATTGAAGGGATTAAAAAGTATTATTTGACTAAATAATATTGTAGAGGTTTTAACTAAATACTTTTTCTTTAAAAAAAATTAAAATTTCTCAATAATTTTTGAGAATATAAGTGTCTTTTGGTAAATCTATCGCCTTGTATAAACAGTTTTTTTCTAGAATACGACCTACTATTCTTTAAATAATGATTTTTTTTGTAAAATAGAGAGATATTAAACTACACCGTTGTTAGAAATTTTTTTTTACAATACAATTAATGTTTAAAATGAAAATAAACTGAATATTAACCTATATAACTTTATGAAAAAACCATTATTTAACGACAAAATTGCGAGAAAATTTTAGGTTATACTGCGTTACTTAAATTAATGTGCAAGTAAAAAATTATTATTTACCACCATTTGGATCTACTTCCTTAAAATATACTTCAACCTCATCTGAAGATATATTACTATTTATTCTATTTAAATATGATTTTAAAATTCGAAGAGATGATCTGCCTATATTCTTTGGATTTAAAGTGTTAAAATATCTTCGAGAGGCACTTAACCCTTCTGTAGGTAATTCTTCTGTAATCTTAAAAATATTAAAAACTATTGTTACATCTATTATATGAATGGAATTTGTTGTGAAATTAATTTACAAATTAAAAAAAATTAATGTTATATAGAGGCACTTACCTCATTAGTAGGTATTTCTTCTGTTATCTTAAAAATATTAAAAACTATTGTTAAATTGACTATTTAAATGGCATCTGTTGTAAAATGAATTAACAAAAGTATAAAAAAAAATTAATGTAATAAACGTACCTCATGTGTATAACTCGGTGCAGCCAATGACGTTTTCAAAAATATAGCCAGAAATAATTGAATTATGATTTGGAAAAACATTTTGCTTTTATGCAGTGAAAAATGTTTAATAAAAATTGTTTTGAAACTAAAAATTCGGTTTTCGTTTTGTCTTTTGATATATATATATAATTAATTCGTATAAATTTAAGATTACTATTTATCTAATATATGATTTTAATATTTATTTTGGAATATAGTACACATATTTTCGAGAAAATAAATTATAATAATTTAATTTTTATAAAATTGGTTTTTAAATCAAATAATTATACAACGATTTTAAAAAACAATAAATTTAATTCAATCATAATTATATTTAGCTTTGAAGATATTAATTTTACTACGATGTGTTTTTTTTGTGTATGTTACCTTTTTTTTCAACTCTCACTGAACTGATTTCTTTCAACAATACGTCAAAAGATCACAAATCGTATCTAATCGAAGAAATTACCCTCAAAATTTGAAAAAATTTCCCTCATTTCCTGTAAACGGAGGAAATCTCCAAAACAATTGTTAATTTTCGAAATTTTTTTAATTTGACCCTTTACCTGCCCATGGTGGGGGATTCAAAATGACAAAAAATGAATATAGAAAGTAGAATTTTTTCAACTGTTGAAAGTGTTCCGGAAGTCTGACACTTTTATATATAAAATGAAAATTCACGATTTTGTATTTTACATTTTTAACTTAATAATGCTATAACTTTTTGAAAAATATATGGATCGATACAAGTTTTTCATGTGAAATAATATTTATATCCTTCTTTCATTTGACATGCTTTATCTTAATCAGGATATAAATAAGGAAATAACAGATAATGTAGCTTTTAGAATAATCCACCAATTTTAGCTTCGATGAGAAGCTGAGAAGGTGTTAATTTTACAAAAATGAACTTTTTCAACTTAATTTTTGAAAATGTTCCGGAAATACTGCGTCCTTTAAACATATGTCAAATTAAAACTTATTCCATGTACTATAAAATTAAAAAAAAAAAAGTTGTCCTGACGACATATCTTCTATGCACAAATGTCTAACGTATTCAAAATTATGCTATTTTTGTATTAAAATTCTGGGTTTTGTATTTTATTTTATTTTAAAATATCTTATTAGGGAAATACACTGACTTTCATGAATATTATATAATTTAATTGACATAGAATAAAGTTCAAAAGACATAAGAAATTAAATTTATTAAAATTTTTTTACTCTTTTAAAGTCGATAAAGTAATTTTTAAATTTGAGTTAGCTTAAATAGCCAATTTTATTATGTGACGAAAGCAACGAACAGATTTGTCTTTCATGCTTAGGGTACGAGGTTCAAATCCTTCTGTGGCAATAAATATTTTGCATTTTTTTTTGAGTTAGAATAAAATTTTCAATCATTTTATATTTATCTCATTTAGATTTAATAACTTCAATAAATATAAAGAATCCTATCACTATAGTTTCCTCTCGTGAGAAGAAATTTCTTATTTAATATTACTTTACTATGTGGTTCTTTTTGTGGCTACGATTTATTTTGCCAACCCTCATTTAACTTACTTTTTTCAATGATACGTCAAATGAAATCGTATTTAATATAACATATTAACCTTATTATTATTTGAAAAAATATTCCTTATTCAAATAAAAAGTAACTTAACCAGATTTTTCCATACAAACAATTAAAATAATTCATTTCTAATATTTTTAAAGTATTTATTGTCGAAAGATTTGATATGATAAAAGTTTTTAACTACAAAAGTAAATAATTTTACTTTGTAATTAATTAACTTTTTAACGCTATTTGTGTGTGCTACTACCAGTCTATAATATTCCCAATTTTAGCTTCGATGCGAAGCGAAGAAGGTATTATTTACTATAATGTGTTTTATTTGTTTTTTTTTTTTATGTCTGTTGCCACTTTTTCTCAGCTCTCATTGGACCGATTTCTTTCAAAAATACGTCAAAAGATCACAAATCGTATCTAGTTGAAGACATTACCCTTAAAAATTTAAAAAAATTCCCTCGTGTCCCCCAAACGGGGAAATATCCAAAAAATTACAAATTTAAAAATAGCTAATTTTTGAAATTTTTTCACTTTTTTATTTTAAAACTTCCATAACTTTTTGAAAAATGAACAAATCAACATAATTTATTTTTATACTAAAACCTTAGATATTTACCTTTCATTTAATATCATTTTTTTGAAAATCTATCACTTAACCTGCTCATTGGAGGGGATTTAAAATAGTAACTTTTTTACAAAAAATAACTTTTTCAACTTAATTTTTGAAAATGTTCCGGAAATACTGTGTACTTGAAACATATATCAAATTAAAGCTCATTTTATGTACTATAAAAGAAAAAAAAAAATTTGTCCCGACACTTTATCTTCTATGCGCAAATGGCTACCGTATTCAAAAATATACTATTTTAACAAATTTTTTTTTTTTAAATTAAACACTATCTACAGATTTGCATCGAAGCGTTTTTCATGATAGTGATTTTAATCACTGTCAGATATCATCTATACTGGTCCCAACTATGCAACGACCCCACTGTGCCGCCACCCCTTTGTGCTGGGTATTTAGATATATAACCATTAAAATTAATTTAATTCTGATTATTTCCAATGTAGAATCTTTTTAAACACCAATAGTTAATTAGAAATGATTACTATGATTTTTATTTAAGTGATCTATTACGATAAAAATGTAAAAAAAAACGAACTTTTCTGATAAATGTACTGTAAATAGTCATTATAAAATTCCCTGTTTGCATATTAATTTTAACAATTTCATTTTTTTCTATTTAATAATGTCAATTTCAAACTTGCAAGTTGGGCTAAATGTTATGATAATAAATTCATTTTTTTTTTTTTTTAAATTTTCACTTTAATGGACAATAAAAAGTAGGTTCAAAATGATTACTTTTAACATTTTAAAAATCAAAATCAATAATAATTTGAAAACAATTAATTTTAAAAATTATATAATATATAATTAAAAGAATTACTAATCTCGGTATAATTAAGGAAATAGAAGTTGATGTTGCTTTTGTAATTATCCATCAATTTTTGAAAGTTAAACACTATCTACAGATTTGCATCGAAGTGTTTCTTATGATATTGATTTTAAGCACCGTTAGATATCATTATACTTGACCGAACTATGCCATGTCATCGCTGTGCCGCGACCCTCCTGTGCTGGGTTTTTATTTTAAAATACCGTTGGGGAGAGGTCACAATTATTACATAAATTATGTAATGTTTTATATGTTTATGTTTTACATAAAATCTATATGAATGTAATCTACATTGAATATAAAGTTAACCTTTTTATTTTTTGCTGGTTATCCCCTTGTAAGTCGAGAAAACGATATTGAAAATTTTAATTAGCCTGAATCTCCCTTTTTATTGTGTAATTTCCGTGGTAAATTTGAGTCTATTGCGTTTGAGGTACTATATTCAANAATGGTATCATTTGAGTCTATTGCGTTTGAGGTACTATATTCAAATATAATCAAATAAATAATAATAAAATGTAGCCGTGTAAACACTTGTAAAAAAATACGTGACTTAGTAAGCGATCGGTCAACGAATCAAGGGACACGGTCCTTTACACAGTGTACATACGAAAAAAGAAAATATGCAGTGGTGTTGAGTTGTAAGCTGAACACTTGCTGTTGTGAATAGTCGATGTTCTGTAATTCTGACGTAGTGCTGGTGCGTTGGTCGCTCATGATAGTAGAGAACATCGATTGAGATCATCAGGAGGCCAATGATTGTTCTTTTTAGAGTTGTACAAACCTTTATGAAACTTGGGTTTAATAGTTGATACTATTTGCGGAAGATAAGAACGAATATTTTGCGACGAGTGGACAATGGACGTGACATAGCTGTTAAAACTGTTTGCGGTGACGAACTGTAAAGCGACTGACTTAACTGGCCTACTATTACCCAGCCAACATAAGTATTAATTGCTGTTGGCAACCCTTCACGATGAATGGTCGTTGGCCGATTCAAATACGGAAACATGTCACTACCGATGAGCGTGTCAATACATGCCGGTTGGTTAAATTGCGGGTCGGTTAATGACAAATGACGCGCACGAACGGTACACGGTAGACAGACGGTTNCGTACCGCGCACGAACGGTACACGGTAGACAGACGGTTGGCATTTGTGACGTTATTCGTGGTAAAATAAATGAGTCTTGGCGACTGAAAATCCAATCCGTTGTACGATGAGGCATAAAAGTACAAGAGGTACTGGCTTTTACTTGACCAACCGTATTGTGAGTTAGGCCAATTTGACGTGGACGACGCGCTAATCCAATACGCGTACCGCACTTATTGGTAATCGCCGAAATTTGAGAGCCGCTGTCTAATAGTACGCGAACCGAATGACAATTACCACGCTCATCTGAAACACGAACAACGGCCGCACCAAGCACCACATTCGTACGTGTGGTACCGGCAAACTGGATGTGTTGATTCTTCAGATTGTCCAGAGCCTGACGTAGTATTAATCGATGAAACATTCGATTTTAAATCCACGTGTAGCATTTTATGATGAAGCTTGTTACATTGTCTACAAGTTGACGTAGAAGTACAAGCGTTGACCTTATGAGAAGGACTCGTGCGCGGGAAAACATGATTTGTTTGATTCGACAAAATCACGGCGTTTTTGAACTGATAACCGTTTGAATGCCGGACAACGACAGAGTATATGCGCGTGTCTGTTGCGCAACAAATACTTTTATTATTGCTAGACGACGCAGCGCACGATGTCAAGGGAGACATTTGAGAGTCACCGGTAGATACGTTTAAAACATTATTCGGATAAGACGAATTTTGATTATGGCGTGTGTCTATGTTTTCAAAACAGCTACTGTTTTCCAATATCTTACATCGCTTATTAACAAACTTAAGTGAAACACCAAATGTCGGAATTTCTGTTTGAAGTACATCGCTTTCAAATAAATGGCGCGTATTTGGATACGAATACGCGAGAGCCAATGAAAAACAATAGACAGCCGGATAAATCATCGACACCTTAATAGCAGCAACGTTCTCTTGGAAAACGTTAACGAAGGTCGTTAATGCAGATAGAGATTCCTTATTAATCGGGCGAAAAGGAAATATCTTGTCAAGGTGCTCTGTAGCGAGTACACGTTGGTTGTCAAATCGCTCCGTTAGTGCAGCCCAAGCGGTGTCATAATTTGGGGCTGATAACGAACTGGACCGAATGATTGTGAGTGCTGTACCAGACACACATGAGAGTATGCAATGAAAACACTTTATTTTATTTAGTGTGTTGCTATTATTAACAAGAGAATCAAATGTATCTCTGAAAGACCGCCATTGTGTGATGTTGCCATCGAACACAGGTAGTTCGATTTTAGGCAACTATGTCACCGCTGTACCGCGATCCCCTTGTGCTGTGTTTTTTTCAATACTATATTTATTTTTCACTTTTTAGTTTTCATAACATCGCTGTCACAGTCACAGAGTGTTTGTTGTAATGTATGACTATCAATTGGTATAATTTCTGTATTGCCAGTTAGTGTGTTTAAAAACTCATAACAATGTGTCTTATGACCATTGATAATAAAAGCTATATACCTGCGAATATCGTCATAAAAAACTATTTAGCTACCTGTATTAGTATTTCCTTATATGTTATACATGTATATTACATGATCATTATAAATTTTTATGAGAAATAATATTTATATCCCTCTTTCATTCGACATGCTTTATCTTAATCAGGGTATAAATTAGGAATTAGGAGATCATGTAGCTTTTGGAATAATCCACCAATTTTTTACTATCTAAAGATTTGCATCGAAGCGTTTTTTATGATAGTGATTTTAATGACTGTCAGATTAAATCTTTACTTGTTCCAATTATACCGCTTCCCCAATGCGTTACATTTTTTTTGTACCTGTCACTATTTTCTTATTATTTAATATTGATATTTAACATTAAGGCTTTACGACGCTTTTAGAGTAATTCTATTGTAATCTCAATTATGTATTAAGAAAATCGTATGAGAAGTTATTAAGTTAAATTTTTGTTATTTAATTGTGTTGACCTGTGTATAAGTTATCATAGATAAGTTATTTGTTTGTTTACAAGTAATATAAAATAATGATTTTAAATTTTTCATTGATAATAATCAATTAAATTATAATGAAATATTCGTATATACCAAGCAATTGGCCATATACAACACCAATAAATATCATTATAAAATTAAATTAAAATTGTTATAAAATTAAAACTAAATATGTTCATTTGAATATAAAATAGTTTTTATATTCAATAGATAATATCTTTAGTCTAAAATGAAAATAAATAATAATCTATAATATCTAAAAAGTTGCTGTATCAATATAACTTTTTATATAGCTGTTTTCAAGCTAGAGCCGAAATACTGGGTAGGGGAAAGAAGGACAAAGATTTTTTTTATAACTACTACTAATCCTCCTCACCCTCCCTAATACCTATTCTGGTGGATACATATACTTAGCTTCTATTTTTGTAGAACAAATATTGTTCCGGTGATCATTTTGTTAAACAAATACGTCAAAGATCATTGTTCTTAATTTATTATTATTATCATAATTTCAAAAAATCTCCCATATTCCCCGTTAATGTGAACATTTTCTCAAAAATTATAGTATTTGAAACCGTCAAATTCCGATATTTTTGGTCATAACATTGCTCAAAATGTCAAAAACTGTGACACGGCCCGCGTCGCTTCGTTATACACGATGCCCCGCGACTCGTGCCACCTTTATCAGCCGTCGCCCTACTATGAGTATTTGACTGACCAACACCGCGTGTTATACGCTACGGTGCAAAGTCCAGCAAATGCCGCACGGCCGACGACGACCCGCCGAAAATGGTGCGAGAGTCTTCCTCCCGTTGTGAAAGCGACAACGTCGACAGCCGAACCGCACCCGCGCACCGTCGCCTACAACGCTGCTAACCATTTTGCCGTCCAAGGATTACGCCGAACATCGCGTCGTCGACGCCAGCGAAAGTGCCGCGATATTATGCGAAGATTATTATTACTGTGTTTATCTTTTCGGTTTGTTTTATTTTTGTTAAAATAATCTGTTGTCGCTCATTTAATAAACGGCCCACGGGTCTCTACCCTCAAAACCAGTGTCGACCACATTTTTGCGACGTAAGTCGTGTCAACTGTATGAATAAAAACAACATATTTATGAAAATACCTCAGCACGTTCTTTTTATTATTATATTATTTTGATAATCTTAACTAGTAATGTAATATTGAAATTTTTAAAATGTGGTTGAACATTTTAAAATTTTAAAAATATGGGTTGTTTTGTAATTTTTTTTAAAACATTGAAAATGAAGTATTATTTATAACGATGACAATAACTAAAGGTATTACTGTGTCACAGTTGTTTAAACTAATATAAGTTAATATACCATTAATATTAATAATAATCAGTTATCAAACTTATTCAAAATTTTTAATTATAATAAATGTTCATTGTTCACTTAAAAATAGATTAAGATGAGGTAGGGTATGTTGACCAATAGGAAAATATGATAAATTCAGGGTTCTCCAAAATTAATCACATGTAGCAATACATGATTACTAGCATAAAACCTGCTTGTAATACACACATTTAACAATCTTTTACAATTTTGTAGTCTGTATTTTTTAAGTTATTAACATTTTAATATAATGACTGATGATAATGAGAAGGGTTTTTATTAATTGCATATTTGATCAGATAAGTTTTCTGAATACCCTGTGAATACTTTTGTTTTAATGCAAAGCTGCAAAAATTGGATTTTTCACAAAAAAATTATTGTATTTTCAATTTTTAAAAATATCTCGGGACATTTGCGTTATTCAAACATACATAAAATTAAAGCTATTTAATATTACTTTATGACGAAAACAACTCAGGAACATTTATTATATGAGTTATTTGAGTTTGACATGCACTATTTCAATAAATTTAATAGATTCGCATCGAAGTGTTTTTTATAATAGTAATGTCATTCACTGTAAAATAGACAATTAAAAAAGTATTCCTGGGGTATTAAAAAATGTGTTATACCAAGTATAAATAATTTTCATTGCAAGACTATTAAAATCGCTTTACTCTTACTAGCGTGGTATAAAAATGCTAATATCTCTAAAAATATTGGTTCAAAAGATGTCTTTTTTCAAAAGAAAATTACAAGTCATTTTTTAATGACTAGTAATTTTCATAGATAAATATTGTTTTTATTTGTAAGCTAGTAGTTAAAAATTATGTTATCATTTAATAAGCCTAAGCTAACTTAATTTGATGAAGGTTGAAAGCAAATAAGACCAATTTTTTTTTTGACAATTATAAGAATAAGGAAACAATTAAATTTTAAATTTTAAAATGAATAAATATGACATATTTTATACTTTTAAATTGAGTTACTGTTTATTAATCACTTCTAAAATCACTTTATATATAATTTGCAATGTATAAAGAAATAGTTTAAAAAATAATTTAATTTAATTTTTAAAATAAATTTTTAATTATTTTTGTTATTCTTATTTTAAAGTTAATTACAATTTTTTTTTTAATTAATATTTTGTTTTTTAGGTAATATCATACAACATAATTGGGACAACTATAAATGATATCTAACAGTGATTAAAATTATTATCATGAAATCTTTTCAATGCACATCTGTAGATAATGTTAAGTTCTTAGGAGAATTTATTAAATTATTCCAAAAATAACATGAACTTTTATTTCCTTAACTATACGCTGATTAAAAGTTTTATAATTTATAAGTATAATCAAATTAGTTAAATTTAGTATGAAATTGAAATTAAACATATTAGTATTGTAATTTACATGGAGAAATTATAAAAAGTTATGAATTTGTTGCACGCAAAGAAATTTCTTTTACTATTAGTCATTTGATTTCTCTTTTTTAACACGCTTATATTAGTTTCACCTGTATGTATGTATGTATGTATGTATGTATGTATGTATGTATGTAACTCTCCAAACGCCACGCGTTATCGCATATTCCGTCGTCTAGNTTTTTTATTTCTTGATTAATAAATGATGAAATATTTTTAATTCATCTCTTTTATTTTATAAGTATGAAAATCTTTTTTTAAATGTAAACATACTTATTTAACTAGCATTTTTAATAGTTAATGATGTAATTAAGAAAATGTCTGGTCGATAACAATTTTAGAAATAGTACTTTGTAACTTATTAACATTTTCAAATATAGAGTGAAGGAAGAGTGCAACAAGTAAAGTATTATGATATAAAAAACATAACCTCCACTGTATATTAAGAAATAGTTATAAATTACGAAAAAAGAGGTCAAAAGTTGGCATCGACTCGTCATTTTTTGGTAAGATCATTTTTTATTTTAAATGCTATATTAAGTATACATGTAGCCACTTAAAAAATGAAATAAACCCAATATAAGTTGTTTTGGATGGGTAAAAAAAAATACTTAGACAAATCAAGATGCATATGAAGCTAAGATTAACCTTAATTTAACATATATTTAAAGGGCGCAATGTTTCCGGAACATTTTCAAAAGTTATGCCGAAAAAGTTCACATTTCATGTAAAAGTTGCAATTTATTACTACCCTATGGACAGTTTAAGTTTCAGATTTTTAAAAGTTTATACTAAATAAATAGTAAATGAGTACCTAAGATAAAAAAGGAATATAAGATTTAAAACCCAAGGTATTAAAAAAAAAAAAAATTATTCTGATTCATTCATTTTTCAGAAAGTTATGACAGTTTAAAAAAGTTAAATAAGTTGAAATTAAATGATTTTAAAAATTGTAAATTTTCGTCAGTTTTCCCATTTGTGGAGAACGAGGGAAATTTTATTCATTTTTAAGGACAAAGTATTTTGAATACGGTAGCCATTTGCGCATAGAAGATATGGACAAATTTTTTTTTTTCATTTTATAGTACATAAAATAAGCTTTAATTCGATATATGTTTAAAGTACACAGTATTTCCGGAACATTTTCAAAAATTAAGTTGAAAATTTAGTTTTTGTAAAAAAGTTACTATTTTAAATCCCTCCCAATTTTCAAGGGTAATGTCTTTAACTACATACGATTTAACATGTTTAATGTATTGTTGAAAGAAATCCGTGCGGTGATAGCTGAGAAAAAGATATAAAACAAAAACACCTCTTAGTAAAATTAATCCCTTCTCAGTCTTGTATAAAAGCTAAAAATTAAGGCGATTGAATTAAATTTATTGTTTTTTTTTAATCGCTAAAATATTACCTAATTTAATACATTAAAATTAAATTTTAAAATACATTTTATTGTATTTAATGTATTGATGTGTAATTTATTTTCTCGAAAAAAGACAAAATGTGTATTATAACCCTTAAATAAATATTTGAAATCGTATATTAGATTAATAATAACTCTAAATTTTATAACTTAAATATATATATATACTAGTATATCGAAAGACAAATCGAAAACCGAATTTTTTAGTTTCAAAACAATTTTTATTAAACATTTTTCACTGCATAAAAGCAAAATGTTTTTCCAAATCATAATTCAATTATTTCTGGCTACATTTTTGAAAACGTCATTGGCTGCACCGAGTNTTCTGGTTACATTTTTGAAAACGTCATTGGCTGCACCGAGTTATACACATGAGGTACGTTTATTACATTAATTTTTTTTTATACTTTTGTTAATTCATTTTACAACAGATGCCATTTAAATAGTCAATTTAACAATAGTTTTTAATATTTTTAAGATAACAGAAGAAATACCTACTAATGAGGTAAGTGCCTCTATATAACATTAATTTTTTTTAATTTGTAAATTAATTTCACAACAAATTCCATTCATATAATA